CTTCTTTGTTGGTTTTCAATATAAACTAGTTTTTTTTATATCTATACAACGAATGCACTTTATTTCCATCTCTTTCTATTCAATTGTTTAATTTTGTGGTGTAAAACTACCAAATTTCAAAAGTTTAGATAATAACTAGGCATAGAAAAATAGACTGGATTTTAAATAGGGAACCAAAATAATTTTGGTATTTTATATCAAATTAAAATTAGATCATATACTTTCAAAAAAAAATCCTAATTAAAACGAACAGTATTTTAACGCCATTGATTGGCTATGAAAATAATTTATGTATTAAATCTGGAGTAAAAATAATTTAGGTATTTTTTAACAAACAGAAATTATGTCATGTGATTTTTGAGATTTCCCTATTTATTATCAGTTTCATTGATATGTTTATTTTAACATGCAAAAGTCCAAAAACCCTACATTAGACTAAAATTATAAATGCTCAGGGCTGGTTAGTACAAATTCAAAACAAATAGGGTAAATTAACGAGAGAAAGGAAGAAAAGGTACCGCACGTAGATAAAAAAAAAAGGAATAAAAGTCTCTTACCCTATCTAGACCCAAAGAAACCTTTCAGTCTCCCCTCGTTTTATTTCTTTTGTAACATAAAAATCGCAGATCTAAAAACCCTATATAAATCTCATTCTCATTCTCTTCTCCTTCCATCCTCATCATTTCCCTCAGATCTGTTTCTACTCCTTTTCCAAAGACCGAGAGAAAGAGAGTGAGACTACCTCTTCTCTTCGAATTGGAGCGTTACTTTTTTTTGTTCCGTTTCGATCTACTTCGGCGTTTTTTAATAATGGCGTCTCCTTATCCTGGAGCGATGCAGGCGAGTTTCCTTTCCCAAAATCAATCTTGGAATCGGTTTCTTTCTTTTGTTAGCTAATTAAAATCGAATCTGTGTGTTTTTATTCGCAGGTTGGTTCGTACTTTGTGGAACAATACTATCAAGTGTTACAGCAACAGCCACATCTTATCCATCAGTTTTACTCTGACTCTAGTAAAATGATCCGTGTTGATGGCGAATCCAGCGACACTGCCGATACTTTACTGGTAAAGATTTGTTCGATTGGTGAAGATTTGTTTTTTTTTTTAGTTGTTATTAGGTATGATTGGTTTATTTTATTTTATTTGTGATTTGTAGCATATTCACAACATGGTGATGTCGTTAAACTTCACTGCAATCGAAGTGAAGACAATAAACTCAGTGGAATCATGGGAAGGAGGGATCCTTGTGGCGGTTTCAGGGTCAGTGAAAACAAAGGAGTTTAACAACAGAAGGTGTTTCATGCACACTTTCTTCCTTGCTCCTCAGGAGAAAGGTTACTTTGTTCTCAATGATATCTTTCAGTTCATCGATGAAGGAGGTGTTGATGTCTTCTCTCATCATCATCAGCAACACGAGGCTCAGCTTAATCCTCAAAGCTCTCCTCCTCATCCTGAACTTCAAGGTTTTGATTTTGTTACATCTTGAGAAAAAAAGGCTAATTGTATTTGTTTGTTTTATTTTGATATGATTGTTTTTTTTTGGAATTTTTGTAGGTCATGATGATTATGTTGTGGAGCAAGAGGCGAGTGATTATGTGAATGCAGTTCAGATCAATGATGATCTTGTTGATAAGTATTCTCTGCAAGAGGATCAACATCAACCTCAGCATGAAGAGTATGAGGATGAAGTTGCGGTTGAGGAAGCGCCTAGGGAGGAAGTTGTGGTTGATGTTGTACATGAACCTCGTGCTGCACCTCCAGAGGAGCCCGTTGCTGAAAAATCCAAGATGAGTTATGCTTCCATTGTAAGTGCACACTTTCTCTACAATTTTTGTGTGATTTTTTTTCAGCATAGTAACCATATGTTATATCTATTGGAAAAGTAAAATCGACATATATTTCTGTGTTCATTCATATTTTGTCTCAAAGTAGTCACTCTAAGACTCTTTTTAATAGATATAAAAATTAGCTTTGTAATAGACATATATTGCTGTGATTCGGTTTTATCACTTGTACTTTACTTGGGTTTTTCTGAGTTATGTTACAAACTAGCCTTTTAATCGGTCATGTTCTCTCTCTTTTCCTCAGCTACGGGTTGCAAAGGAAGCAGCTGCTGTACCTGTAGCTGCTACACAACCATCGTATAACAGGAACTCTCAAGAGAATAATGAGTGGGATCAACCACTACGGACTCCTTCCCCTCAGTTGGCCGCGCCTCCTGCTCCTGCTCAGCAATCAAACGCCTTTACTGACTATGGAGCAGAGGCAGATGGTGGCTTCGGATTTGAAGACTGTAAGTTTTTGCTCTCTCTCGGACCAATAAAAGTTAATAATGCCTCCTATAGTCCTATGTAAATGGTTAGGAAAGTGAATAATACTAGGAGTACTGCTATTTGACACTTTGGAAATGTATACTAATTTATTGGTTTGCCTTGTCCCAGTTGAGATCAAATCAGTGTACGTTAGGAATCTGCCTTCCAACATATCTGCTTCAGAGATCGAGGAAGAGTTTAAGAACTTCGGTACAATCAAGCCTGATGGTGTTTTCCTCAGAACCCGCAAGGTTTAATAATCTTCACTATGTATTTTTGCCCTTTGTTGTTGTCTCTCTTAAGTGAGGAAATAAGCAAAGCTAACAATCGTACCACACCAACCGTGCAGGATGTTATTGGCGTTTGCTATGCTTTTGTTGAGTATGAAGACATGACATCCGTTGAGAATGCTATTAAGGTATGAATTCTTTTATGCAATTACCACAATGCGACTCGCTAAGTTAAAACTTTCTTCTTTTGTTCCCAATTTGTGATGGTTCTTTTCTGTGTAATAAAACAGGCATCTCCTATATATTTGGGTGGAAGACAAGTATACATTGAGGGACGAAGACCCAACCCCGCTGGTGTTCGCGGAGCAAGTAAGCAGAGTCTTGTAGTGTCTTGTAAATTACTTGTAAGGATGAGAGCTCACCACATGAAAACTCATTTTTGACTGTGATATTTATTGACCAGGAGGAAGAGGTCGCGGGAGAGGCGGTTACCCAACAGAAGCACCAGGAGGCCGATTTGGTTCCCGTGGGAGAGGAAACCAGGAAGGAGGTGACTACAGGCCAAGAGGCAACGGTCACTACCGTGGCGGCCGCTAAGGCAAAAAGAAGAAGAAGAAACGCAGCTGAATCTCTTCTATAAGTTTTAGGGCAACCGAGAATGAATGATTCAGAGGTGTTCTTGTTTTCCTTTATCTACCGAGGTAGTTTGTGTAACATTTTGTTGGGTTTGGTTTTTGGTTCATATGTTTTTTTCTCTAATTTGTTTTAGATTTAGAGCTTGGACTCTCTTTCTTTGAGAACGGCTTTAGTTATGTAACATTTCAATTTTTGTTTTTTTTCCTTCCTTTTATGTTGGCTTGATTTTTAAACTTTTGTTGCTGTTTCTTTTCTTTGGTTTGATTAAAACTCTCATCTCTCAGAACTTTCATGTGTTATAAAGCAGACATCAGTTTTAACATGACTGGAAGTTACCCTATATCCTTCGACCCGGTGCTGTACGAATGCATTTTCTGCTCCAACTTTTGTTTGATTATCAAAACTGCTGACTTTGATTATATCTCCGATAACCTCTTGTTTTAATACTTATTATCAAAGTTGCTGTTTTGATGATATCTCTTGTTTTGCTGTTTTGTAGTCTCGCTTCTTTAACTTTTTCTGCTCGTGCATGTGTTGTTTTAATGGTCTCCCATACCTTTTTGCCGTGTCAAATTCACCGACTTAGAGAACAAGAACTTCGGGTATCTATTGAAATAATAACGCAATAGCCATATCATTTTTGTCTCCCTCGGTTAGGTCTGTTTCTATGGCTTCTCAAACTTTGTGCACTTGAATGTGATCTTCATCCTCATTGTCCATACTATATAATTTGTGGTGGTAAACAAGGGGCATTGAATCGAACTTGTTCCTCCACTTTTAGGTATTTCTGTTGTTGGCACAATTCTCCCCATCTCTTAGGAAGGCTCTGATCTATACTATTATTTAAGAAGTAAATTTGCTGATTTGTCAACTTTTCCATGATTTTAGGTAATTTTTCTTATTTTTCATATTTTTAAGGTTTTATATATAATTTATTTATAATTAAAACGAATTTATATTAATAATACCATATTAGAAAATAAGATAATTCTTGAGTATTACATTGTTATCTTGAAAATATATTATCTACTATTAAACTTAAATTTTAAACTCAGATATAAAAATTATTATATCTATTATATAATTAAAACAAATTTATATTAATAATATGATATATAAAAAATAAGATAACTTTTATGTATTATATTTTTATCTTGAAAATATATTTTCCTATTATAACACTCAAAATTAAGATAGAAAAACTATCTATTATTAATTAAATATAAATCATCAATCAAAATTATTTGAAAGGTAAATTTACTAATTTCTCAACTTCTCCAAGATTTTAGATAATTTTGATCATTTATCATAATTTCTCTAATTTAATTTATTTGTCATGTTTTTAATAATTATATATCTAATTTTTATATAATTTGTTATATAATTAAAATAATTTTATATTAATAATTTATTATTCTTATAAAATAAGATAATTAAATTTATCTTTAAAATTTTTCTATTATTAAATTTTTAATTTAACATATAAAAATTAGAATTAAATATAAATCAAGCCTAGGTATTAGAGTCACCTTCTCCATTGTCTTTGGAATCATTAGTTTTAATAATAAATTTAATTAGTTTTTATTAAAGTTTTGATATAAAAAATAAATCATTATGTAATTCATTATTTAATTTTTTACAAAATAATATTAGAAAAATTATCTCAAAAAAGAAAAGATAGTTCTCCTATTTATTTTGTGTTTAGCTACATCTTTTTTTCCTGTTTGTTAGTTTTCACAATTATTAGTATATATAACAATAATAATTAGATTTATCTTTACACTAAAATATTAAAATATTATAATAGAAAGTAACAAAAAATGATTTATATTTGTTTGTAAACTTAATATGTTATGGCATATTTTAAATTAATTATTAATATTTTTTTTATATAAAAATGCCAAAAAGAGTAATATATGCAATAACAACAAATTTGATTTATATTTTTTTTCTTAACTGATTTTGTGGTATTTTCACTTTTATTCTTATTTTTCAATTGCAAGAATAACATTTATTTGATATTTAAGTTGAAAGCTTCAAAATTTTTTTATATTTTTTTTAAAAAAATATTGTCTTGTTGGGAATTAAATTATCCTTTTAAAGTATTTTCAAATTATCTTCTTCTATAAGAGAATACTTTCAAAATATTAATATTTTATTTACAAAAAAGTGTCTTATATTTATAAAATATAATTATTTTAACTCTGTTTGCTTTTATTTTTGCAAATGTCTCACAGAATTATAAATTTGTTTAAATTAAAATTTCTGTAAAGACTATTATGTAAAGAAATTTTGCTCTACTTTTTATTTATTTATAAAAACTGTATTTTTAAAATGATTTGTTTTTCTTATAGTTATTAAAGTTTGAAATTTTAAAAACCATTTGAAAATAACAAATTATGATTTTATAATAATATTATATAGGAAAATAACTACCTCCATTTTAAAATAAAAATATAGATTGGCTAACTTGTTTTTCTATATTATAGCATTTAGAAATGAAAATAACAATATAGAAGAAATGTTTTTGCCATATACATTAATGTTTTGTTTGTCAATGTAGTCAGTATGTTTGAGTGTTTATTCAGTTATTATGGGAAGATCATACATATATCAATAGTTTTATTTATTGTGATTAATATAATATGTAAAGTTGAGTTCGTCTAACATTCTTCTGTTTTTGATTTACTTTTAGATTTTATAGGTTTTGCTAATTATAAAAATTTGGTTTAATAACATCACCTTATATTAACAATTATATATATATGTGTGTTTATATAATTAGATAAATATATATAAAATAATATAATAAAAAGTGGTTGAAAATAACAGTGCATTTTACAATAAAAAATATTAAATTTTTAATCAATAAAAGTTAAAACTTAAAAATTAAACGATTCATAAAATTATATAAAATTTAATGTTCTTTTTTACTTTAACCTAATAGTAAATTTATTAATTGATATTTATAAAAGAGCTATGCCCGCATGTGCGGGCAAACCACCTAGTATCAAATATATAAACTAAGTTCCAAGAATTCGATTATAAGAATACACTAAATAAGAATAACTCTCGTACAAATCTATTAAGAAAAATCATTTAAAAACTTAAGCTCTATCAAACAATCATTAAATTTATAAGTTATGCCACATATTGGTATAGTGATTACCATAACTTGGTAATCCTTTTACTAAACCATAATTTGGTAAGATAAGGATAGCTTACAATTCAACAAATTTTCAAGCTTAATCCGACAAGCTTAATCAGAAGAATAAACATTAGATCAATCTTTAATCTCCAAAAACATGGTCGCTTATTATTAATGATGATTGATACTCAGTCTTTAATTTCAAAAGAATAAACTTTAGATCAATTTTATCCACCATATATTTCCTTCTATTGAGTTTGGAAACTAGATAGATATAAAAACATGATCGCTTATTATTAATGCTGATACTCAGTCTTTATTCAAACTTGAGGCATAACAGAGACACACACGACCTGAGTCCGTTGCTCAGGAAATTGTCATTACCGACAAAAGACACAAAACACATGAAAGATAGAACCATTGGTTTATCATTCGCTGGTACTGAGGACACAACGAAGGCAAGTACCTTCATGCAACAGGTCAAAAGCCTTGTTGATCTCTCCCAACGTCATGTTGTGCGTTATGTACTCATCCACTTTTATCTCCTGCATTCGTTTGAAATTGTCAAGCAAAATTCTAAGTGTTTTAAGTTTAAGATTACAGACAATAATTTTTTTTTCTAACCTTGTTCATATACTTCTCTACAAGCCAAGGCACTTGGGTTCGACTCTTGAAACCACCAAAAGCTGTGCCTTTCCACACACGGCCTGTCACGAGTTGGAACGGTCGGGTTGATATCTCTTGTCCTGATGCTGCAACACCGACTATAACCGAAGTTCCCCATCCCTGCAACATCGTCCTTAACTCTTAAGCCTTTCTTCTTGTCTTATGTAAATTCTAAAACTTTTAAACATGATTTCAGTCTATGTTCAGATTCATGGATGAGTGTACCTTGTGACAGCACTCCAATGCGGATCTCATCACGGAGACATTCCCAATACACTCAAAGCTGTAGTCAACACCACCATCAGTGAGATCAACAATCACTTCCTGAATTGGCTTTTGGTGGTCTTTTGGGTTCACAAACTCATTAACACCAAACTTCTTTGCTGAAATTCCAACCAAGTAATCCAATGTATTGTATAAATTATGTGTAAAACTCACTTGATTCAAAAATCATTTTAACCAAGAAGAAGAAAATATAAGAAGTATTACCAGTTTCATACTTCTTGCTGTCGATATCAATGCCAATGATCCTTGTAGCACCAGCTGTTTTAGCACCCTCAGCAACCTATCCATACACAATATATAAAAATAAACTACAAGGTTTCTTGCTTGAGGAAAAAAATAAAAAGATGAAAGCTTTAGACAGGATGTAACTTACAGCAAGTCCCACGGTTCCAAGACCGAAAATGGCAACATTTGAGCCTGGTTCTACTTTTGCAGTGTTCCAAACTGCTCCAAGGCCTAACAGGATCAAGATACATGATATACTGTTAAGGGCAGTAAACTTCAATATCACCCAAAAATCACAAATAAAGAAGAAGACAGGTAGTGAATATATTAGGTTCCTATCATTCTATCACATAGAATAACCATGCAAATCAATCTTATCAGTGGTGTTGTCATACTTAAAAAAGAGACCTTATAGCAATCTCCCAAAGCAAAGAAATGGGTAAACAACAAAGACTGCACTTAATCAAAGTTGAAATTATTTCTCACCAGTGGGAACACCACATCCAAGAAGACAGACTTTCTCCAAAGGAGCCTGAGGATCGATCTTAGCAACACTAACATCATGAACAACAGTGTACTGACTAAACGTGGAAGTACCCATGAAGTGATAAATGGGTTTCCCATTGACAGAAAACCTGCTCTTACGGTCGTTCATCATAACCCCAACACCAGTAGCGGACCTAACCTTCCCACAGAGGTTAGTCTTGCCTGATTTGCAGAACTTGCATTCACGGCACTCCGCTTGGTAACAAGGGATAACATGGTCTCCAGGTTGAACTTCAGTCACACCTTCACCAACACTCTCAACCACCCTGATAAAAAAAAAAAAAACAAATCCAAAGATATTTTAGCATTGAGTAGAAATGCCAAAATGATAAATTAATCCCGATTTTCTCTCTAGACGCTAGGCCCAACCCGGCGGCCCGACTAGGGCTAATACATACCCAGCAGCTTCGTGACCGAGAATACAGGGAAAGAGACCTTCAGGATCCTAAATCCACAAAGAGACAGAG